TAGTATAGCGATACTCATTGTGAAGTACCAAGTAAAGTATGTAAAGTCTCCCAAATTTATTTGCGCTTGGAATCTTCTTTTTTTTCCTTTTAAATAAACACATTTAAGGCCTAATGTTGTACAGAACAGGTAAGGGTAACATCACATCATTTGATCTTAATAGTTTTAACTTTGTTCCCTGTGATATTTAATTATGAACAGGTATTTACTGCTCAGTGATTTTGAATTGAGCAGCAGAGACGCAGAGGTTAATAGACTATAAGAATTAAAGGAAGACATGTAAGAGATTAGCACTAGGATATACTTGAGAGGCAGCTGTTTTCATGAATAACTAAATTTCACTTTGTTCTTTTGAGTCCTTGGTTCCCTCGCCCAGCCCAGATGGACCCCAAATCTCATGGGGAACAAGGCTGGGCTCAAGCTGAGATTCTAGCAACATTTTAATTATCAATAACTGAGTCAGATAATAATCATAATGACAGCAATGACAATGTGATCAAATTGTGTGGATTACACAGTGTCTATCAGGTACCATGCTCATTTTCTCAGTGAATCCTCACAAGGACTCTACTTCCCAGGTACTGTTACTATAACCATTTTAACAGATAAGGGAACAGAGGCACAGAGTGGTTAGCAGTTTGTATACTAGTAGCTGGAAGTGGCAGAGTCAGGATTTGAACTGGGACCCTCTGACACCAGAGTCTTTGTTACATACCTCACCATCACCAAAAGGGCAGATCCATCTGAGGAAAGATTTTGTTTTTCTTAATTACACAGAAATTATAGGGTGCTGGAGAAATTCCCAGTCTACGATGTGACTGTTTAGAGCTGTCATTGTTCTAGTCATCCTGGCTCCTCTCACCTGATGGGAAGTGTCCCACTTCTTCCTCTTGTGTCTGTCCTTCCAGTCCCATGGCTTGTACCTTTGTCCAGCATCATCTCACCTCTTGACTATTAACACACACACACACACCACACTTCTCTCTGGTTTCACAGTCCCAAGGTTTTCTGGGGACTCACATCTCTACCAGAGAAGTGTCCCAGCTCTGCACACTTCTCTCACTTCTTTAACTGCCTTCACTGGCTTCCCTTGCTGGAAGGAAACTCAGAATCCTGAGTGGGGCATTCAGACTGACCTGGATTTATTTCCCCTCCAACCTCCCACACTTCCCCTGCTGGCTCATCTGCTGTTGGCCAACTGGCTTGTCACTGCTTCCAAAGCAAGCAAAGCCCTTCCCACTTCCAAGCCTTTGCTCATCCTTGTCCTTCTTCAGCTTGTGGTGCCTTCCTGCCCATTAGCTGCTTCTCTGAGTCCTTCCCTGCCCTTGAACGTGCCTCCTACCTCCAGGGTGCTATGTCAGTAGATCCCAGCCCACAGTAACCACTCTCTCCTCTGCAGCCTCTTAAAGGACCTATTTCTGCAGCTCTGGTCACCTACCTACCTTTTTATTTCCTGTAAAGTGAGGTAATAATAGTTCTGCCGGATAGGGTTGTTGTGTGGCTGAAAGAGATAAAATGTATAATAAATGTAGTGCAGAATAGAGCCACAAGGCAAATTTTGAATACATGAATTATTAATAATTAAGATTTAAGTTTTATTACTGCTTTCTACTTTATGTTATTTTAATCTGATTTTCTCACAAATGGTAGACCTCTTGAGAATGAGGATCAAGTCATGCCATATTTACTCTACTACCCAAGCACCAAAGACTTTGGAAAACACTTGTTGAGGATGAGCCGACAAACCCTAACTTAGGAGACTAGAGCCAGATTCCAAACTTAGCTCTGCTGGCAACTCAGCATGTGACCTTGACTTACCTCCATTCTTTAATTCTCCCAGTCCTCAGTTTCTCTATCTGTGAAATGGAGAGAAGAATTTTATTTCACTATTGGTGAAACATGAGCGTAATTGAGGTGTGCTTGCAAAGCACTTGCCTTAGTGATTAATTAGTTACAGTGGCTCTTATGGGTGTTTCTCCATTGCTGTTTAGGGTTGTTGAAGGTGTTTGTTCCTAGAGCTGCCGTGACAAATGCTACAAATCAGGTGGCTTGAACAAGAGAGTTTGGTAGTTTTGCAGGTCTGGAGGTGCTTAGGGGTCCACAGTCAAGGTGTTACCAGGTTGCTTCCTTTTGAGCGCTATGAGGGAGGATCTGTTCCAGGCCTGTCTTCCAGCTGCTGGTGGCCTCAGACCTTCTTTGGGTTGTAGATGATACTCTGCCTGGCTCTGCACATCGCCTTCCCACCATGAATATCCATCTCAATGTCCAGATTCCCCCCAGCCCTTCCTTCTTTTGGGGGGTGGTACTGAAGTTTGAACTCAGGGCCTGTGCTTGCTAGGCAGGCTCTCTACCACTTAAGCTACTCCCCAGCCCTTTTTGCTTTAGTTGTTTTTTAGATATGGCTCCTGTTTTTTGCCTGGGCTGGTCTCAGACTGCATTCCTCCTATTTCTGCCTTCCAGGCAGCTGCGTAGTTAGGATTACAGGCATGCCCCACCACACCAAATCAAATTTCCCCTTTTTATAAGGACACAGTCATACTGAATTAGGACCACCTGAGTGACCTCATCTTAACCTTTGTGAAGACCCTGTCCTAGAAACTTTGTCCAACGTGGTGCTTCTCGCATGTGCTTTTGGAATTGCAAATTTATCGTTTCTGGCTCCTGACATTTTAGTAGGGCGCCCAGAATGGAAATGACACACCAGACCTCAGGCAGCTAGCTTTCCTTCTCCGTTTCATAGCACTCTGCAAACTCTCAGGCTGTTTGCATATGATTCGTATTCCTCCTGTGGTCTCTAAATGCAGGTAATACGAATAGATTTAGAATATTAATCTGACATGATCCAAGCTAGCATGGTCTAATATTAGTTTGTTTACTGGGGAAGGTGAAAATTCTGAAAGGGTAGAGTGAGAATTATTCTTGGTAAATATTTCTTGCTGGCTTCTTCAGCACTGTTTCTCAAAGTGCAGTCTCCTGGATTCTCTGTGGTGTTGATGGAAAGTGCAAATGTCCAGGTCCCAGTCCCACTCTCCAGGTGCAGTGTCTTTGGGGGAGGGGCCCTGGGAGTTGCATTTCTAATGGGTCCCTACCCTGTACTCTGAGTGGTCTGGCCCATCCTGAGTCTGAGATCTCTGGCATCCTTCCAGGAGGAATGCATTGTATTTTGGGGGTCGGATGATTTGTAGAGCTGGATTCTATCCAAGGTTGAGGGCAAGGAAAGAACGCCAAGAGGCAGGTGTGGGACTAAAGATCTGTGAATAGCTGTAGGCAGGGAGAGGAATTCAGTATCCATGACTTGTCCAAGTGTGTCTGGTTCTTTGTGAGGTGACATCTTCTAAGCATGGGAAATGGACAGTGGATTTCAGGAGTGATAGGGAGGCCTGAAAGGATTGATGGCTTGTGGTTTGAAGTGGGGAGTGGGTTTCTGGCAGTTCAAGTGTGTAGAGAAGTTGGCATCAATTCTTATCAGAGGTCTGGCACCTGGGCAAAGTTGGATTAGAGTAACAGATGAGGGAGGGGCCCAGCCTTTACCCTGTGGAGATGCTCAGCGAGGTGGGGCCTCAGGGCCATCTGGGTGTCTGTGTGAAAACTCAGATATCTGAGCTCCTACCAGACCTTCTTCAAGCTCTGGGAATCTATTTTTAAAGCTTCCTGGTGTTCTAATGTTACAGTCCCTCTGAACAGTCTTTTGGAAGTATAAGGGTCTGGAAAGAACGAGTTTCAGAATCAGTGGACCTTGTGTTAATCCTAGTTCAGTGGCCTTCATCAGTGGACTTCATCGTGAGTTACTAACCCATTCCAAGTTATCTTTGGACAAAGACACATTTCCTTCCTTCCTTCCTTCCTCTCTCTTTCTTTTCTTCCTCCCTCCCTTCCTTCCTTCCTCTTTCTCTTTCTCTTCCTCTTCCTCTTCCTCTTTCTCTTTCTCTTTTTCTCCTTCTCTTTCTCTTCCTCTCCCTCTCTCTCTCTCTCTCTCTCTCTCTCTCTCTCTCTCTCTCTCTCTCTCTCTCTCTTATTCTCAGAGCTAGGGATAAGATAAGGATGTAGCACATTTTTACCACACATTTTGGGACAGGATAGGCATCCTTACAAAAAGGTTCCAAAGCCTGTGATACTTGAGATTCTAAGGTGATAATTAGGGAAGGGCAACAGTTCATTGGGTGTTGGACTCAACAGAGGGACCCAGTGTTTGCAACTGAAATATAAGACAGGACCTTAGCTCTGGGTAATACGGGCTTCTGGTTCCCAGGATTAGAACTAGAAAAAAGCAACAAGAATGTCAATATTGTTTATATGTAAGGGGGCACTTTGTATATAACCTTGTGAGTTGAACACTATCGTTATCCCCCCTTTACAGATGAAAAAATTGAGACTGGGAAAGACCTATTACACTGTAGAATCATATTTTAGACCCAAATTGCTTGGCTATGGGCCTTTGACCCCCTGTTCCTGCCCACTTAAGTCAAATGTATGGTCAGAGTGGCCCTTGAATCATAATGCTGAGTCTCAAAAGCAAGCTGGGCCTCAGGGAAAATGCTCCTGGGTATTTCTGGGCTCTGCATTTCTAGATGAAAAGTTGCCCAGCCATTTCATTCCAGCATTAGAAAGGCTGGCATTTTCACAACAGAAATTGAGCTATAATAACCTCCACTATTGCTAAAGCCTCAAAGAGGAAATCTGTAACACAAAATTGTCTTGTACTGAAAGTCTGTCGACCCCTTTATACTTCATCCATGCATACAGTTTGACCCCTTTCATGCATTAATCAGAGCTTAAAGGACCTCCCTGACCATGGTCCCTCCTCCCTCTCCCTTCAGTTCCACTGATTCAATCCTCATTCAACTTATATGAATTGAAATGTCTAATCAAAGTTACCTCCATCTTGTACATGAAGCATTGATATTGCTAAATATATTGGTATAATTCTGAGATCATTTTATCAGAATTTCAGCCTTCCATAACTTTCTTTTTTGTTCCCCATCTCTCTTCTCAGGGGATAACTTTAACCTTCAGTGGAAGAACAGATCAGACAGCAAACAAGCTGCCAAGTACTGTTTGCACCTTGTCAAGGACAGCACCTGAACTCATTTTTAATCAGCACTTCCCAAAACAATGCCTCTGGGTCATTGAAGGAGACCAGGCCAGAGTTAGAAACTTTCCAGAGACCTCTAATAGACATTGAGTGGAAAAGGAAACTTAGGTTGTCTTTGCATGAATTTGCTTGATTTGAGAAACAAAGGAGGAGAAAAACAGGTGTGACTTTCAAGAAGTCACATGAACATATTCCACATTTAAACCATAAATGGATGGTCATTATTGGAACAGCCCAAACATCTACCACGGAGCAAGAGATATAGCTGGAGAGGCAGCTAGGCAGTCCAGGAACCAAGGAATGGGTGACTACAAGTATCAGGACAACTATGAGGGTTATTCCCCCAGTGATGGCTATTACAGAGGCAATGAATCCAACCAGGAAGAAGACGCACAGAGTGATGTCACAGAAGGCCATGATGAGGAGGATGAGATCTATGAGGGCGAGTACCAGGGCATCCCCCATCCGGATGATGTCAAAGCCAAGCAGACCAAGATGGCACCCTCCAGGGCAGATGGCCTTCGGGGCCAGTCAGACCTGATGGCGGAGAGGATGGAAGATGAGGAGCAGTTGGCCCACCAATATGAGACCATCATTGAGGAGTGTGGCCATGGGCGCTTCCAGTGGATCCTCTTTTTTGTTTTGGGTTTGGCCCTGATGGCTGATGGAGTGGAGGTGTTCGTGGTGAGTTTTGCCCTGCCCAGTGCAGAGAAGGACATGTGCCTGTCCAGTTCCAAGAAAGGAATGCTGGGTAAGTGGAAATTTCCAAAGATCATTCTTGTGCCATTAAAAATATGAAAGGGAAGGATAAATAGGATATATACAAATGCCTGCCAGTATTAGACACCTTAAATTTATCAGTGTCCCTGCAAAGTTATCATTTTATACTCATTTTGCCATTAAGATCTTTTTTTTGGGGGGGGTCTCAGAAATCAAGTGGATCAAGTCAACACAGCTAGAAAGTACAGGAGCTTCCCAGGTCTGTTTGACTCTTGAGCTCTTTGTTTCCCAAATCTTGTTGCTTCTTTGAGAGCAGATTTCTCTCTTCATATTGAACTTTCTTCCATGTCCAAATGATAAGTACATTTTTGGGAGGAGCTGGACAGAAGTCTTTTCTATCCAGTCCATCTTTCTGTGTCTTTCCAGAGTCCAATGGCATGTACTCCAGGTTCTCTTGTATCTAAGTGTTAGTGGCTGAGTTCCTGTGTGCCTTGGGAACGAGTGATGAACTTGAACACAGCAGCGGGGGCCCTGCAGGCTGCTGGGAACCATGCTGTGAAGCACAGATGGATTCTGCAGGATAGAGGACCAGCTTTGCAAGTCAGTTAGGAGACTAACACCATCAGAGCCAAGACTCAGATATCAGGGCTTAAGGCAGAGAGGATTTTGTAAAGTCAGAGAAAGGATGGGGACACATGGAAGAAATTCATCATATTATGATTGCTCATGGATTTGTCTTGGTCACCACACATCCTCTAAAACATATCCACTCTCTAAATTTAGAGTTTATGCAATTTAGAGTTCAGCTAGCATTCAAGACCAAGAACACTTAATGGTTCTTGGGAGCTCAAAATCTATCTAACATTGTAGCTCATTTATCCAACTTATTGGTACACAGTTCTGGTCTACACTGTGTGAGTCTCTGTGATAAGGCCTGGGGAGAAAATAGCCCCTGTCTCTCAAAGAATTTACATATCACAGGACAAGAAGGCCTTCATGAATTATTTAATTGCCATAGGGATAAGCACTATGAAATGCCTTGTGTCATCTGGTCCTCGGCATCTGCATTAGAGAAGAAATTGGAAAGGTCTGGATGGTAAATATTTTAGATTTTGTGGGCCCAGATGGCTTTTGTCACAACTGTTTAAGTCTTCTGCTATAGCATAAAAGTATCCATAGACAACATGTAAACAAATGGATGTGACTGTGTTTCAATAAAACTTTATTGACAAAAATAGGCAGTAAGCCAGGTATAGCTTGTGGGTTGTAGTCTGCCAGCCTCTGATCTAGAGTCACTATAAATAAGATTGGGATAGGATATTAAGCAAGCATTTGCAAAAAATATTGTCACTGGGGGCTTTAAAATTGTTTTTATACATTTCTGTTTAACTATAGTGCCACTTAAAATGATTAGAACTGAGTCAGACGTGTCCATTAGGAAACCAAAAGAGACTGAGTATATACAAACAAAAGCAGTGACTTAACAAGCAAGGATATCATTGAGTTTTTAAAAAGCAGCAGAATTTTAGTACAGCTTAAATATATATATTCTGTAAGGTGCATTTTTTGTTGAATAGTAGATATCTTAAAAAGACTAACAAATAAGCAAAAATTCAAAACCAAACCAAACCAAACCATTCCCAACTGATCTGAGCATTTCTAAGAGGTTAATTCATTTTGCTGTATTCCCAACTGAAACCTGGGTCCCTGTTAGTCCTAGCTGGCAATGTCAGTAACAATTTCATGCCCTGCTGGTCTCTCTGGCAGCACAGTGCCTGGCCACCTCATTAACAGAACTGCAGAATGGTTATAGCTCCTGCCAGCTCCCAGGGCGAATGTTGGGTGGGAGTTAAGGGAATATAGTTTTGAACTGAAAAGCTCACATTTGTACAATTTTGCTCTTAGTGTTAGAAGATGCTTTGACTCAGTCCAAAAGGGATAGACATAACTCTTAAGTAAATATGGACTTCTGTGCACTTGTGGGACTTCTTTGTGGTCAAGAAAATGTGTGTGTAAGTGGATCTGGGGAGTTGGAGGATCAAGTATCTCTGAGGCCAGAATTTCCACATGAGGCTACACCTAAGCTGCAGGATCACCTTGGTGGTTAGACTTATCATGAAATAGATTCAGAGAGTCTTATCTAGCACCCAACAGATAGGAGGTGCTCAGCAGGGGTGTGATGCCAGGTCTGTCTGATATTGAAGCCTGTGCTCCTTATTCTATGTCATACTGTCTTTATCTATGTATGGTCTATAGAAAAGAGGTCAGGCCACATGCAGACTTCTCTCCATAGATTGCTGGTGCACCACAGATTGCTTGTGACAGAAATGGAGCCTGGTACAATGAATAGCAGTTTTTGGGTACTGGAATTTAACCACTAGAGTTTAACAACTGTCTCTGTCATTGATCAGCCAGTGACTTTGAGATAGTTACAATTCCTCTAACTCTCAGTTTTCCCATCTTTGGAATAATTAAGGGCATTAATACATTTGTTGTGATAATTAAGATAATGCAAATAAAACAACAGTACCCAGTGCTTTCTAAACAACTTAATTTTGTTTTGGCAGTACTGGGGTTTTGAACTCAGGACCTTACTCTTGCTAAGCAGGTTATCACTCAAGCCATGCCCCCATCCTTTTTCGCTTTGGTTAGTTTTTGGGTAGGGTCTCACATTTTTACTTGGGCTAGACTTGACCTGGATATACTTCAGCTTTTTACATAGCTGGGAGTACAGGCACATGTTTTCATGCCCAGCTTTCTTGGTTGAGATGGACTCTCATTAACTTCTTACCCGAGCTGGTCTCGAACCTTGAGTCTCCTAATCTTTGCCTTCCGAGTAACCAGCTTATTTATTAATTTATTTAGTATTATGACAATCTCCATTCTAGCATTTACAGGGAATTAGAACTGCAGTGAGATAATGGGGTGATATGGATGCTGGAGCCGGTTGGTTGGATTTGAAGACTTGGGTATGGTGACTGCAGGAAAGTTCTTCTCTGTGCCTTAGTTTCCTCATCTGAAACTTAGGGATGATGGTGATATCTGTTTCCCAGAGGTTTTGTGAGGAATCACTGAGCTTACTAACTTGGCTGAATTAGTGCCTGCATGTCAGAGGGGTTCAAGATATTTCATCATTATTATTGTTGACTGAAGTTGCTATTAGTAGTAATCTGACTGTTTGATCACAATGAACCACCCAAGCTCAGGACCGGATTTTCTCTGATGACTTTGCACATTTCTTTCAGCCAAAATTATGTATTGGAAACTTTGAAGGTCAAGCTGCTCTACCTTAGCTGTAGAAAAGATGCTTTGTATTTCAACACTAACTAACCGAGTGCAGTCTCTCTTCCCCTTTCCTATCTCTTTGTTTAAAAATTCTCTGAGCTGATGCTGTGAGGGTCAATCCCCAGTCAATGGTCCAGGAAAAGAACACAGTATGAGGACTCCTCACCCTCAAATTTAGGCCTCAAATCATAGGATGCTTGGCTTTCTTCCTGGAAAAGAATGAATCAGTTCATAAAATAAAAGAAGTGTCCCTTGGCCAGGCAGCAAAGATACTTGGGTGTTACTGGCCCATTTTTCTGAGTTTTGGAGAAGATGTAAGTATTTCTGTCAGGCATCATGCTTTAGTGGATTCCTGACCTTGAACTGTCTCACCTGGGGAGTAAAAAGGACTTGTGAGCCCATCGCTAGCCCTGAAGTCTCAGCCCTGCTTAGAATCCAGCCATTGATCCCCAAACTCTTCTTCAGTCATTTTCTTCTCTTTTTGCCATGCTGGGAAGGGAACCCAGGTCTCCCTCATACTCTGTCACTGAGTGCTCTTCCACTGAGCTACATCCCTAGCCCACTTCTTCATTCTTTTTTTTTTTTAAACATTATTGAACATTATTAGGTTCTCAGGGTGACTCTAGTTATAACAATGCAAGGCAGACCAAGTCCTGGCACTCAGAGAGCTTAGTTCTAATGGCAGAAATAGGGCTAACACATGAACTATAAAAGCGGGACAATGCAATATCCAATGGCATTGCTTTTATTCAGATAGGAAAGAAATAAAGAAGTGTAAGAGACAGAATCTAAGAAGGGGAGGCTTTCAAGTTAGAGGCCCCACTGTTGAATGGCTGTGTGACCTTGGACTAATCTGAAGTCTTCCTTCTGAATCACCATGATTTTAGGTGGCTGATGATTGAATCAACATTCTAAAAATCTCCTTTAAGGTGATATTTTTACATTTTTTGATATTTGTGGAAAAAAACACTCAAAGAAGTGAATTTAGTACACGGCTGCCTGGCTGCCTGGTATGCTAAACCATTTGGTTCTTTCAAATGCCATCGAATTATTGGTAACTTGGAGCCAGCATCCTTCAGCTAGGTTGACACTTCACGTGGATGACATTTAAAACCAACCAATGACATCCTCCTCTGCCTGGATTTGGTAAAATGACACCAATATTTCCCCAAAGTTGTAAAATTACTCCTTACCCTATAAATGGGCTACTCCCTACTGTCATGATGACCTAAGGAAAGAGAACCCCATGTACAGGCAAGAGATCCATGTTCGTCTGAAGAGTTTTGGTTTCCTGGCAGGTTTCCTCTCTTGGCGTGTAGTTTATTGGCTGCTACTTTATTTTACCATCTGCAGTGGGAAGATGTGGGGAGTTCTGTGCTTCAGACAGTGATTTAAAGCCTAACGGGATCTTGGGGTCTGGGGTCTATGCCAACTATATAGAGGGCATAAACCAATGTCAGATGGGGTGAATTCATTGGCATAAATTGTGGACTGAATTTTCCTAGCATCTCAAAGATGGATGTGTTACCCTTTTGTCTTGAAAGATTATCTTTTAATTGTTTTATATGCAAATGATAGCTGAAAGTCAGGGAAGACCGTTTAGTTTATTAGCTACTTTTTCCTTTGTCTTAAATTCAGTGTGTCAGCTCCTAAAAGGAGGGGAACCACACTGTGTCCCAAAATGTGGCAGAAAATGTATATTCAATAGTTACCTGATGCGGAAATCTATGACCAGGATTTTTCATA